TCCTTTAAGAAGGATGTATGTACAATGCCAAATATTTTCTTTTATTAATTTAAATTTCTTAACATGTGGCATGGTTCTAGCTTCCCAACTTTTTCCTAAAAACATATGAAATGTTAATATGAATTATTTAATTTTACAAGGTTTGCTCACAAGGTACTATCTATTGGAAGCATAATACAATAATAAAATTGAAAGTGATTAATATAGCACAGTTTAGAAGTAACATGTGTTATTTCAATTATAAGGTAGATTCAATTTAGTTTAAAAAATTGTGTATATCCTATTGTATGAATAGTTTTTACAAATTAATTCTCACACTTATAACTGTAGTACCTGTTCTCTTATGTCAAAAGTACAAAACACTATTTTATTCAGTTTAGCAATAGTAACTATTTTTAGAGCAATCCTCGTTAAATTTTAGTTATATCACCTCCACTTATTGTATGAGGGGAAAAATAAAATTACATTGTATTTTTTAAGCAATTTATTATCAACCATTGAAACTATGTAGAATATGTTTTGATATATATGAAAGTTACACAAGCAATGCAAGAAAATGAATGATACTAATGTATTTATCATTCTTTTTCATATAAAAAAGAAATACAAGAGTTATGAAAAAAAAACGTAATTTTCAGTATTTTCAAAGTATTATTAAAATAATGATTAAGCATTATTTCCAATTAAATAGGGTTTAACGTACGTTAGATATTGAATGCAATTTGCTTTTTAAAGTTGTATATGAAGGACTATACTTTGTGTTTATTTTAAATGTTATTTTTATTTTGTCTACTACTTGCAGATATTAGTGATATTTCCTAGATAAAAATTTTCATATTACTAACTACTTTACTGATATTGTACTACTTTAATAATATAAAATGTTAGTTATTAGCCATTATATTTGATTACCTAACTAGAATTTTAAAGATTTGCAACAGTTATTCTTAGCTAGCTTGTAAATTAAATTATATATTATTCAACGAGATTACTTTTATACTGCACCTCTCAAATAATTGAGATACTTTTAAGATTGAACAGTATTAAAATAGTATATTAATCCGAAAATTCAACTAAAGAAAAACCTTATTCGCCTGCAATTTATATAGAAATTCGATACCAACTATTTTATATCCCAAGAATCGTAGATGGTAATACAAGCGTAGTAGCGCAAACAGCCTTTTGTATTTTGTAGAAAATTGTATTCTCGTTGGAATATTATTCAAGAACTGAATTTAAGAAGCACATATAAAAGATTGCTTATTTCAAAGTACAGTATAAGTCAGTATATCTAAACAGCGTGTAGAATAAGAAGAAGGTATACCCACTTACTTATGTGGCACAAAGAAAACTTTATTTATCAACTTATTAAATATAAGGCAATTACATTACACTTTTTCATAAGTACTTTGCCTGAAAACTTGTTTTTTAATGAACACAACTTTTTATAACAGATAATTGTACGAAAATTTAAACATATATGCTTGATTACATAAGTATATGATAATACCTTTTTATTTCAAAATGCTAATCCAATATATAATTCGTAATAGCTTTTAATGGTAAGATATAAATGGGTTATTTTGGCAATTGCGTGAAAATCTAATTTTTAATCCTTTCATTTGAGAGGGAAGAAATACCGAAGAAAAAGAGTATATATTTACTTAAATATACCGTGCATTTGTTTATTCATACACATTTGTTATATATACAGATTTGTACTTTTACCATTGCCTTATCTGAAGATTAATAGTATACTAATGAAAGACACGTAATGTACATGTTAAGAGGTTCGTAATTAATGTAAAACGAATAGTTTACGAAGGAAAGAAAATACAAAACGTGCATATTTATTAATTAATTATTTTATCTCTTAGAATATTATACATTAAATGTGTAAGTTAAATACGATTTTCAGAATAATAAACATAATTCTATTATTCTTGTTCATTAAGATTTTTAATAAAAAATAGAACAATAAAATGACTTAATTTGGTCAATTACTTGATAAAAGATTTGTATTGTGTCTTTAAATGACGAAGTATTTCGTAGTATCGAATGTATAATTGTGTAATCAAATTTCTTAAAAATATATGTACGAACAAAAGAAAATAATTTCTGAAGATATTTTACATGAATCAAATAATACACGGCTTTTAATCTTGGAAACGTTTATATATGAAAATGCAAAATTAAAAATACAAGAATATGGTAAAATGAAACATACCATTATATTCGATTAAACAACTCTGTGTAACAAGATTTATGTAGGTATTACTTTTGAAACATCAATGTCGATGGAACTTCGTACGATTTATGTAATTTATAATTAAAATATCAAATTATACTAGATTGTCCACAATGTACAATGCAGAGACTGAATAAAAGAATAAAATTCCTTTTTTAAATAAGTTGTCATTATTACATTTTTCTTTTACTAATCTTAATGCGTTACATATTAAACACTATTCAAACTGTCATATGTTCTTTATGCGTGTAAATTATTTAATAAAACAATGTAAACACATATAATGTTAACTATGGACCTTCACAAATTTTGTTAAATATTTTATAACACATTAAATTAAGTCTAGCATTTTATTATGCTCTTTTGTGTGTGTGTGTGTGTGTGCGCGTGCGCGCGCGCGTGTGTGTCTAAAAGGAGATTTATATATGTTTAAAGGTAAATATATTTAAAATTATAAACAAAAATTATAATTATATATA